CATGTTTTAAAATATAAACTTAATCTAAACAACGTTGATATTAAAATAAATATATAATAACAAATTCGTTACACTTTATAATGAGAAACTGTAACATATCTTGTATCACTTCAAACGTCACAAAAGAGAACAAAATACAGGATAATAATTGCAAGTAATCAAAACAATTAAGAACATTTTTCTTGTAATTGTCAGAATTTCTACTGTATAATTTAAAATATCATCGTTAAGAAAAAAAATGCATTCGGATAGACTGTAGGAGTTGCAGATAATTCAGCACACTTAAACATGTGAAAACGAAACTACGAGTTGTTAAATCTAAAATATTTACTTTATGGCATACAGAAAATGTGTAGAAAGTATCATTGAAAAATGCCATTTTTCGTTGTTTCAAAAGGTATCCTTTGGTAGTGATGAACGTTTTCGTAATATCAAGTATTCAGCATAATTAGTAAACAATATAACTACTCTAACTAACGGAAGCTGTTTTAACAGCTTAGACAGTACGTTGAGTTATAATTATTTATTTTTACTAAACAATATTATATTATTTTCGTATAATTCCTTGAGTTTCACAATATTATGTCAAAATCTGTACAAAGAATAGAAATACAAATTGAAAAATGTAAACTTTTATTAACGTTCTAGCTATAATTAATAATTATCTTCACCACAGCAAAACAATATTTAATTAAATTTACAGAATTAATTTTCTGCTTGTACTTTATATAATTAACTCCAGTATAGATAGCATTTCAACATGATTAGAGCGGTACGTAAATAGCTTAAAATGAATTTAGCATTACATATATAATAATTCATTTGCAGTCATTAATAAGCATTTAGTCTATTTGCTTCTGCAGCGAACAGCGTGTCTTGTTCAATCATCATGCAAATGAAAGTACATTTTATTTCGTAGACTAAGAACTTGGGTGGGATGATTGCTTTTAAGTAAAGTGTTTCTTCTGTTATATTCACGTTATCGATTTTTCTCTAAAGAAAGTTGAAATTAGACATTCCTGCGATTATAGGGTCTGATGATGCTTTACGAATAGTGGTTTAAAGTTAAATTATTACGTAAATTTCGACGATTGAACTAGTGTACACTTATCGTTAAGCCTCTTACATCCGAATAAATCCTTAGGGATTGTGCTTGCTTGTCGTCAGTTGTTTGTTTGTACGTTTAGTAAGAAAAAAAATGAAATTAAAATATTTCTGTAACAAACGTGTATTCTTTACTTATTCAATGCTTCTAACTATACACATTGATTTTCTAAAAATAATGACTATGTTTATAATAACTGATGTGTATATTTTCTTTACAACTTGACAAGTAAAAAAAAAACAAAGAAAAATAAAGAATAAAAACACGTGAATCTTTGTCAGTTAAACAGTATTATGCATAAAATAAACAACCCTACATCACTTGTGAGATACAGTGACTGGGTAAGAAATGAATTTATCGTGTAAAATAAGTCAATACCAAGCTCAGTAATCTTCATTATTGCTTTTTTTTTGTTTGTTTGTTAAATTGACTGGGTAAGTAATGAGCTTATTTTGTAAAATAAGTCAGTACAAGCTCAATCCCTTCTATTATTTTCTGTTTGTGTATTACGTTAATGTTTTATTTCATAAAACATTATAACGAATACAATTGTGCGAATGTACACAACTGAAATTGGAGATATTGCGCTAATACATTATGCTACAAATGAGTTACTTAGAGGATTTGATTCTGGATGAAATAAAATAAAAAACTCTGACAAATTTTTGATCCACCTCAACAGTATTAATAATCACATTCAATTCACAACAGGAAAAGATCGAAGTAAAAACAACCCGTTTTTAGATATTTGGATTCACAGACAAGAAAATGAAACTTTTACTATTACTGTATATCGGAAACCTCAAAATGGACAAAAATACCTATATTTTAATTCCACGAATCCTACTTTCCATAAAGCTATGGTAGTTAAAACGCTAATGAAAATATCTTAAAATCTTTGTTCAAGTGAAGCATATTGCGTTAAAAACAACAACATATCATAAAATACTTTTAAGATAAAGGGGGACCCCAAATTTTGTTGAACAAAACAATAAATAAAAAAAGACTGGATTTTAAAACCAACTACAACTATAGTGATCTGTTATATTAAAGGATAATCTGAACAAGTTAAAAGACAACTAAATGAAATTATTGTTCAAACTGTTCCTTGACTCTGCACAACTTAAATTCATATCTTAGTCCTTCCAGAAGTCCCCATCCAACTAGAAAACAGAAACAGTCTCTGTGAAACGTCATGAAGTCTATTACGGTGAAACAGAACGAACATTAAATAAGCGAATTAAGGAAGACAAAAATGACATTAACTTCTGCCGGAACTGACGCTTCAGACTTAGCAAAACACATTCTTGAACACAATTTAGATTAGAAAACTTGTAACGTTATAGTCAAACCCAATAAAAATTTCAATGCCTTTTTCATGAGTGTTGGATACCTAGGAGACAAAAATCACACGAACAAATGTATCATAGAATATCATGTGTTATCTCCGTAAAGGTATTTAATCACGTACAAACGATTCAAAACACGCAGAAGTCACTAAAGAAGATATTAGACTTCGTCAAAACGAATGGTAGGTTTTTTAACCATTTGGCTGTAATAAAATTGTTTTAACCTCTTGAGATTTTAAACCTAAACTTGCTTGGTGTGTCAGTAAAGAAAGTTACTTATCGAGACTTTTTAAAACTCATCTTCCATATTAAAACAAGAAGTCAGTGTCACTTTATGGATATAATGGCATACATTGGATACATAAACCTATTGTTTCTTTCTCTTGTTACAATACAAGAACTGTTTATCGTATGATACAACTGGTTAAGTTTATAAGCCGATTAGGTCACCGCTGGATAGGGTTGCAATCAAATACATTAAGCTATGTACAAACTCAAATAACATTACCAACGGTTTTTTTATTTCATTATAGAAAATTCGTGATTGAAAGGAATGTAAGTTCTACGTACAATTAAGGAATTTTACAAGTTTTGTGTCATCAATTAATAAATTTGAAGATTACCAATTCCAACACTAGAGAGCGCAGTTGGGCATTATATCCATAATGATTTGTTGTCAACCTAACCGGACTCATTCAAGATGATACAGCTTAGAATTACGATACGCGGATGATCAGAGAATGGTTATATTACTTACTGTGAACCCAGTAGTTGTTGCTTTAAAGAAAAGGTTCACAATGACCATATGCACTCTGTCTACCAAGGTGAATCAAACCTCGAATCTTAGCATTGTAAGTTCTTAAATCTCCCACGTCTAAAATACATAAAAGTAAAAACTCCGTGGGAGCTAGGGCTAGTTTGAAAGTTTGGACAGCCTCAATCTATCTTTAGGAACGAAACAACATAAAGATGGGAGTACATGTAAATATGAGACTATAGTAATAACTCATACATAAGGTAAGTATGGATAATCATTAACAGACAAAAAAAAAAGATTTGTACTTTAAAAATATGTTAATATTATATATAAACTTGGTTATGTTGTTTAAAATTGCTCGAAAATATCATTACTAGTTTTTCACGACAATACTAGTTTTTTTTCAGTTCTGTTCTACTTGTTGCACGTATAATCTTAGTAGTGATTGATTTTTGAAATTAATTGAATAATATTTCGTTTATATTTACTCAGTCATCGTTTGGGCTTTTGTAAAAGTTTGGTGAAAGATGATAATAATCGGTGAAGGTGGTTGAAAGTTCCAGATTCTGTCTCGTCTCTGTTTTGATTTCGGTTGACTGTTATTATTATATTTCCGTCTTAAATGACAAAAATATAGAATTTTTATTTACGTCTTTTGAGATTTCTTTTAATTTTATAGCCCTACCACAAATTATTCCTTTCGACCTGCCAGCTCGCGTGAGAGAGGATTCTACGATAGTCCTTACGTGTTCCATCAACAAAGGCGATCCACCATTTGAAATGGAATGGCTAAGAAATGGTCGCCAACTGCCGGCGGAACTGGGTGTTACGGTGCAGAAACACAAGAAATTTACAATTTTAGCTTTAAATGATGTTAAACCTCAGCATGGTGGGAATTACACGTGTGTTGTTTCAAATGCTGGAGGAACAGCAACTCATAGCACCATCTTAAGTGTTGATAGTGAGTATTTGGAGAAAGAGTTCCATACTTTTAGTTTTGAATACTACGTAAGAACTTCTTGCTTTTCGTATGTGTGACAAAAAATTTCTATATATTGTTCAGTGGAATGTTGTTTTTTGATGAGTTATACTGTAAGTATTCAGAATATATAAGCACTAGCAGAGCCCCCCCCATCACAACTTTTGAAATAATGTTAAAATTAATGATGGTTTTGTGAATTATTTGAAGTTTTAAAGTAATTTGTTTTTCTTTCATTTTAGCGGTATGAAAGAAATATTTCCACATTGATTTTTTTCCCTATAACTGAAGCATGTATTATCATAATTTTGTAAAAACAAACTTTCAAACCATTCTTGTTAAAAATTTAGTACAAAGATAACATTTAATGTTTTATATATTTTAAAGGTAAGTTTTAGTTGAAATAATATTGGCCTCTTTTTTTTTTAGAGTAGAAATAAAATCATTAAGGACTAATTCTATATGCGTCTGTCTTTCAAAGTTAAGCACGCCAGTCTCTGGTCAGTGAGTAAACAGATGTGTTTTTTTGGTAAAAGAAATTTAAGTTATAATTTTAAGTTAAGCAAATTTTAATTAAGGGCACACCATGTTATAAACTATTAAACTTAAAACTTAGCGAAATGTGTAGATGTAAACTAAAGTTTTTATCAGTGGCGGGAAGAGCTGTATTTTCCATGTCAAGATACATCAATGAACTATAATAAACTTGTTTACGTGAGCGCAATGATTCGATAGTAAATCTGTTTCGATACAAATGGTGAGCACAGCACAGATAGCCCATTGTGTAGCTTTGTGCTTAACAGCAAACAAACAAACATAAGCACAATACAGCAATTCACTAAAAGTTGAGATTTATTTGATTGAACAATAAATGTACTATTGCTGTTGAGGTTTTCTGTATTGTAGCAAACCATTCTTTTAAAAGGACAAAAATACATCTGGTTAGGTTGAACGTTTTGTTTGGTTTCGAATTTCGTGCAAATTTAAACAAGGGAAATCTGCGCATTACCGTTTCTAATTTTAAATTGACAGACTAGATAAAAGGAAGGCAAGCTAGTCAACAAAAGTCACACCGAATTTTTTGGCGACTTTGGTCAGTTTGAATAGTGGTGTTTGACCGTCACTCTTATAGCGCATCCACGGCCATAAATTTTGGAGCTCGATTTTTTTCGGTAACGAATCCTCGCACTGACAGTTCGGGCACACCAGCCACTTCCCATGCCTCAGCTGATTGAAGATGTGCTTCAGAACTGGGATGTACTATGATGTAACAGGTTAAGCTAAGTGATTGGTTAATCATATATTTACTGAAAATCATGTTTTGGCTGAGTGTATCTTCACACAAACTTAAACGCTTTTTTTTTTTTACTTGGTATACTATAAAAGGTTCAAATCATGTTTGCTAACGATATTATAGCAAAAGGGAGTATAACAAGGGATATAAATAAATAAATAGTATAAGTTTTAAAAACTAAATTCTTCGTGTCGGTGATGTAAATATCATTTTAGGTCGAAAGATAGGCATAATTTTTGTTGTTGTTTTAACTGTTTTTATCGCTGGGTGTGTCGATAATAGAAAGTTTTACGTGTGCTTCTCGGAAAGTTAACTTATATTAAAATCGATTATATTTTTTTCAGCGCCACCACGATGGAAGATAGAACCCTTAAACACATCGGTGGTTCTAGGAAACATGGTTACCATTGACTGTTCAGCAGAAGGATCGCCACGCCCGATCGAAACGTGGAAGAAAGCTTCAGGTACTAATCACTATTATTTAAAAGCATATGTAAAACCGTTACAAGCACTTAAAGCAAAAAACAAATTGCATTTTATTTCATGGCATGAGGTAATGAAGAACACTCAACTTCTTTGAACTTTATAATTTTCATTCCGCGAAAATGTGATATAAACAAGATATCTTAAAACAAACACTGATACATAAATCAAACGTTTCTGCAACACAGATATATATGTCAGGTGGAGTGAAGTAGGGACGATTGTTTCTTCAACAAGAGGAACACTTGTGTATATAAGGGAGGAGAATGATCACCAACACTAAGTGTAACATCAACAAGGAATTTAGGAATCAGATGGAACACTCGCGTATATAAGGGAGGAGAATGATCACCAACACTAAGTGTAACATCAGCAAGGAATTGTAGCATCAGATGGAACACTTGCGTATATAAAGGAGATGATCACCAACACTAAGTGTAACATCAGCAAGGAATTGTAGCATCAGATGGAACACTCGCGTATATAAAGGAGATTGATCACCAACACTAAGTGTAACATCAGCAAGGAATTGTAACATCAGATGGAACACTCGCGTATATAAAGGAGAATGATCACCAACACTAAGTGTAACATCAGCAAGGAATTGTAACATCAGATGGAACACTCGCGTATATAAAGGAGATTGATCACCA